GGCTCTGAATGGTGACAGGCCTCTTTAGAAGAGGGCTGTCACACTGGTCCAGTCATTCAAATCCCCTGGCAAACAGATGTTTAACAACTGGTCCACGTTGAGGGCGTCGAGGTTTGTCCCTTCATCGCAGTGGTCCTCCAGGAAGGAAGTGGCCTTGAAGGTTTCCTCACCGTCCAGGTTGTTCTGCTTGGACTCAGTGAGGACCTGCCCCTGCTCCTGCCCCTGGAGAGCATCGACCTGCTGCCCGTGTAGTGACAAGTCTGCGTTGCATGGTACAGGGCTGCTTGGAGGCGTGAACTTCAGATCCTCAAAAACAGAGAAGTCGACATCCAGGTTGGTGTTGAGGATGGATTCCCAGTCAAAGTCCCCTTTCAGCAACATCAGGTCATCGTCTTCCTCCTGGGTTGGCAAGGCTTGGTTCCAGGTCAGCAAGGCCTGGTCCTGGGTCAGCAAGGCCGCGTTGGCAAGCCGGGAAGCCTTGGCCATTTGCTTGGGCAAGGGCAGCTTGTGTTTTTGCCCTGCTTTGCCACCTGCTGGACCCCACTTGTGCTCGCCGGTCATTTCTTCAAACTCTTTCAGCAACTTCTGTGACTCTCTGTCGATGCTGAGGACGTTCTCGCTGGTGCAGACTGAAGAGGCTGGGCCGGCAACGCCATGGGCTGCTTGCCGGACTCGTTTGGTGAAGGCCGGGTGGATTTGCGAGGACATCCTCCGCTTTTTGAAGGCACCGTTCTTGAGCCGCTCAGCATGTTGGGGGTCCAGCTTCCAAAACCCACCTTTCCCTGGCTCGCCCTTCTCCCGAGGCACCTTGATGAAACACTTGTTCAAGGAGAGGTTGTGCCGGACGGAATTCTAAACAGAAAAAGAAAAAAACCAAGGCTGAATGCTTGTCTGCTTCTGTGGTGCCCACCTCCCTGGGGAGGCTGGTAGAAATGCCTGTTTTCATCGAGGAGGAGAAAGCAGAAACGGCAACGTCAAGGCATCCTGGGCTACATTCCCAGAAGAAAGTCCCCTGCCCTCAGTCACCAAGAGTTCTCTGGCCTCCCGTCTAGCCCTGGGCAGGAGCTAAGAGCTTCAGGCTAGGATTTGCCAACCAACGGGAGGCTTTTGGGCACCTCTCCTTGCCTATAGACTGGGGCCATGAGGCCTTGGATCATGACTGGGAGAAACCAGCTAGACTGGCTCTGGGCATGGAGCTAAGCTGGCGGAGGTCGAGTCCTCCTCTGTGGCTTAGGGGGGGCTTTACCCCGACGTGGCCATGGCCCCATTCCAAGGGGCAACACGTGGCAGCACCATGGGGGATGGCAGTACCAGGGCCCTCCTTTCATCCCTCAGCTCATCTGCACGTCTTGCTAGCGTGGAGGGGAAAATATTTGGCCAGAAAATAGGCACCGAGGGGCCTCCCCATGGCCAAGCTGACACAAACCAAGCGGGCAAAACCGAAGAGACATAGGGGCTGTGGGCAGCCCCATCTGTCCCCAGAGGGGCCTCCCTGCCCAGGGAAGCCCGGTGGGAAATCACGGCATCTTCCTCAGCCACTGCTCAAATGAGCTGAGCGGGGAGAGGAGGAAAAAAAAGGAAAAGAGGTGGTTCTGCTCCCGTCGAGCTGTTCTGAAACACTGAATGTGCCTGGAATGATGTGAATAATCAGAAAGGAAACTCGGTTATTGGGTAAATAACCCAGCATTGGACTCCACAAAGCCCAGACAGTATGAAGAGATTGGATATGGTAGAGGTTTGTTTTTTTTTTTTAATGTTGCCTGGATATCTTTATGCTTATTCATCCATAATCTGTAGTGCCGAATAGGAAAAACAAGGCTTGAATGCTTAGAAGTGTTGAATAACATACACACACACACAACAAAACCCTCCTCTGGACTGAAGCTCCTTGGGTGTGTTGGCTCCTGTCCAAAGCACTCAGCTCCCACAGGAATATATCCATCTCCCCCCTGTAGTATGGGTGGCATGACCTTTCCATGCTGTCTTCATGTACAGGAATTGGGGACAGGGGATGAGAACATAGCTTCAAAAACAAAAAAAGGAAGGAAAGGAAGAATAAAAGAAGATAAAAAAGGAAAGAGAGGGAAAGAAAGAGAAGGAGAGAGAGAGAGAGAGAAAGAAAGAGAGAAAGAGAGAACGAGAGAAAGAGAGAAAGAGAGAACGAGAGAAAGAGAGAAAGAGAGAACGAGAGAAAGAGAGAAAGAGAGAACGAGAGAAAGAGAGAAAGAGAGAACGAGAGAAAGAGAGAAAGAGAGAACGAGAGAAAGAGAGAAAGAGAGAACGAGAGAAAGAGAGAAAGAGAGAACGAGAGAAAGAGAGAAAGAGAGAACGAGAGAAAGAGAGAAAGAGAGAACGAGAGAAAGAGAGAAAGAGAGAACGAGAGAAAGAGAGAAAGAGAGAACGAGAGAAAGAGAGAAAGAGAGAACGAGAGAAAGAGAGAAAGAGAGAACGAGAGAAAGAGAGAAAGAGAGAACGAGAGAAAGAGAGAAAGAGAGAACGAGAGAAAGAGAGAAAGAGAGAACGAGAGAAAGAGAGAAAGAGAGAACGAGAGAAAGAGAGAAAGAGAGAACGAGAGAAAGAGAGAAAGAGAGAAAGAAAGAAAGAAAGAAAGGAAAAGGAAGAAAGAAAGGAAAAGGAAGAGAAAAAGAGAAAAGCAGCAGGGTCACAGATATCCCTGCAAACAATCTGGGCTGTGGTAACTCCAAATTTAAAGTTTAATGAATTTTTACAAGGGCTGGAGACTTCCAAGCTGAATTCTCTGCTCCGCCTCTTCCCTCCCCATCCCAACCTTCATTCAGCCTGGGTTGCCCTCCATTATTACCCGGCCAGTTGACATATTTATCATTCCTGTCTGCAACAATCCTGTGAACCCCCTGCATCTCTGTGGAGAGGGAATGAAAACCTTTTTTCTTTTTTTAATAATCACATTTAATTAAAAACGTGGTGATTGTCAAGCCATGAGTTTGCAGGAGAAAGCCAACTCGCTGGCACACAGCTCCTCCCCCAGAACCTCCCCTAAGTCCCTCCAGCATGGAGAAGGTTGGGGGATCTAGGTGATCCTGGAAAGCAACCAGGGGTTTCCCTTCTCCATGATGGGCTTCAAGAGCCACCGGAGACCCACCTGCCCAGGGAGAAGGTGGGCAACGCCGGGGCAGGGGGTTTGCAGCAGTTTTGCCCAGCCCTGCCTGGGTGAGCACTGCCCCCATGATTGCTGGCACGCTGTGGGTTTGTGCTGGGAATAATCCAAGCAGAGGGATCAACCACGTCCCTCCTGCACTGCCACATCCTTGAAAGCCTCCCGTGCCGGAGGTCCCCTTGCGTGATGGATGCAGGCAGCGAGCCAAGGTGGCTGGGAAAAGCCCCTGTGCTCCAGCCTGTCCCCCAGACTGGTGAGCCTGGGGTCTGTCCCCTACCCTCTGGGGACATGCTCGTGCTAGCTGGGGACAGTAGCCCTATTTGACCTCTCTTAGGCTTCTGTCTGCAGCCTCACCAGCTCATCCCAGCGATGGACCCTCCTTCTGACCTAGGGGACAGGAGACATGTCCTCTGCCCTGCCTGGAAAGCAGCAGCATTTCTGCTCTGGATCTCCCCGACGATGCATTTGTCCAACAAGCGGCATGTCCCCACCGGTCCTCTCCATCCCGCTATTACACGTGATCATTGGAACCCAGAGATACTTGACCTGGAGATTTCATGTGTGCTCAGCCCCGAGGGACTCAGGACCCCAGGCAAACTCCAGAAAGGTGCAGCTGCAGACGGAGATGTCTTCACCCCAGAGCGGAGGGGAGCCGCAGGGACCAGCAGCCCAGTGAGTACCTCCTGACTCCCAAAACAGCCCTGAGCATTCCCCATAACAGCTCCTTCCCTCTGCCGCCCTTGAGGCCGTGGCATTTCTGCACACCCAAGTTCTTTCCCCTTACTGCCCTTCCCTGACTGCTGCCAGTACCCTCTCCCCCCGGTGCGATCCAGCCTCCTGGCAGGACCTCGCCTGGTGTGCTGGAGGCTGTGGCAAACTTTAGCCAGCACAGACGGTAGAGAAG